AAGGGAAAAATAGAGGAAGAAAACTTGTTAGGAGAAGTAAACCGGAATATAAGCACAGCGAATCTGAGACAAAACGGGGGAAACATCACATACAATCGGATCCTGTTTCAGGTTTCATTTTTCGTCAGAATGCAAGAATCGAATTAAAATGACACTGAAACTGTTAATTTATCTACGATTGACTTAATGGGAATTGATCCCGTTCTGTTATAGTGTGAGTTCATAAAAGAACGCATCTCAGCTAAATGATATGTGAATAAGTACCCGGAAATATAATTTCTGGACACTATTTACGTATAAGTCTGTAGTGATTGTCACAATCTTATTTTTAAATACAAATATCATCGCACGTCACATCAGGACCACCTACAACATCAATACGGCCTCAGAATGAATGCATTTAAAGTAAGATCTCGCATTGAGTTGAAATGATCCATGTAAACAATAAGTATAACAAGGTGGTTTGGAGATAGTGATCTTTGGCAGGTATAGTATCAGTGTGTGATTTACATTAGAAAATTGGAAAATATTCAGCACAGAAGGGCGTCATCGTGACTGCGACAGTGCTCCTTTTTTACTGTATTACTCACACTTTTCAGCTCTTCCCCCAGATTTAGAAACATAGACGCCTTATGAAATGACACCCCTTGTTCAATATTAACATGTTTATACTCTTTTGCTTTTGGGTACGTTTTCAATTAGTGTAATGTTCTCAAATTAATAAAGAATGGACACCATTGTCTATTTGTATTTGTTACTGGACTTGTGGGTTAAATTGTATCTCGGTGTTTGCTCCTGGATGCAGTTAACAGCAAAGACCAGGGATTTGTGCTGTGACATTATGGTCTGTATGGCTGACGCTGCACTGGGCGGTGTCTATACACATTAGATCACTGGGGAGTTGATTACGCACGTCTATCCATCTATCTGAATGAGGTGCCTCCCCGCCCAGATTCCTGCTGGCGTTGACATTTTTAACGAAGCGATGATTTATAATACCAGAAGCCGCCCGAAGTCCCTTATATTTCGGTTGGTGCCCTGAATCTTCACGTTATGTAAAGGTGGGTCTCTCATAGCCGCCATACACAGCTGTGACTCCATTCCACCCTGACTGTTGCATGTGCCTCAATATAGCGCTGCTCGTTACAGTCCCTATCCTGTCAGAGAGAGAGAGATTGAGGATGGACTCATCTCAGTCTCCTTCGAACTCTCAACACAACATACAGTAACTCACACTCCAGCAGGTATCCATCCATGACATTGGGATCCCAGAACATTTGAACATGCAATTTGTCTTACGCTATGAATATATCACTCCAATGCATCTTTATGTTATCTGACCAGAAAATCAGCTCTTGCCTAAAATTAAAACTATAAACAGCATCAAGACTCTGGATTGTGCTGTGCATTCAAATAAATATACGGAGAACAGTCAGACTTCTCTGAGGGGGGGGTACACAAGTACATGTGTCAAAAAAATACCAATCCACAACTGTTTGTGGGACATTGCTGTGCGCAATTGGCTACGGCATTTCATCTAGAAAATATAGTCAATCCGTTCACAATGTATTCCGTCTCAACCCCTTCGCCTCGCCCCCTCCTTCCCCATCTTCAGATCGCACCTAAAGACCTTCCTCTTCAACCGCGCCTATAGTCACCATCCCCCTGCCCCTGGCTCGGCCTCGGGCTCTGCCATTGTTAAGCGCTTTGAGATGCAGTCCAGCGTGGAGGGCGCTATATAAATCTAAGTTGTTGCTGTTGTTGATAAGGTGCTATATGAAATGCAAGGATTATTATTATTAATATTATCATCATCATCATCTGCAGTGCGATTGAGGCAATAGCAGCTCCACTGTATGTAAAATTGGTCTCCAACCGTGTCACGCGTAATTACATGGAAGCAGGGAACCAACATCGCTTTCGTAGTGCGAGCTGATTGGAGAGGATAACAACCTTGAATGATCACATTGGGGGAGGGAGAGAGTGACCCACACGAGAGACCCGGTTGTCTGCTAACTGAATGTCACACTGGCATCGCCTCGCTCCCTGACCTTCTCATGCTAAGGACCATGGTTGTTTGAGTCTGGTATTGGCTGGAACCGGGTTCGAGGCGGGCAGTGTGCCAAACGCCAGAACAATGCCAGGAAAGTAACTTCAACGAAGCGTTTGAAAAGTGGAAGTATGAGAGAGGAGAGTTTGCTCACAACAGGCGGCATATTTCCTATAAACGGAGTAAACTCAGAAGTGACCTTTACAGGCTAGCGTCCTGTGGCACCTTCCACCAGGTAGATCACCAATGCAAAACATGTTTACCTTTAAATTGTTCCTGCATCTCTCTCTCTCTCTCTCTGGCTAATGTAACCTGTGGGTCACCAGCAAAACCGTCAGGAAACGAGGGGTTGGGAGGCATCTGCAGAAAAGATTTCTTGCACTTGGGTTAATCTGTTTCCTGTAAGTTTTTACTAAGCGGGCACAAGATGTCTGCCTCGTCTTGAGATAACGTGGCTCTTTGGGTTGGTTATAGGAACGACCTCCGACGTGTAAGGCTGACGATGCTAGGAATACGTTGAGCGTTATATAGTCTGAATATACTGCTAGGGACTGACAGCCATTAAGGGAGGTGTTGCTAGTTAAGGTAAGGCTTTATTTACACTATCGCACTGTTTCAGTTGTGTGTGTGTGTGTGTAATGTTGGGGGGGTGGGGTGGGGTGGGATTTCTAAATACATAGTGCATTTTTAAGTCCACAGTTCCATTGGCAGACATTAAAAAGCTGCTGTGAAATGAATTGCTCTTATTATGATAGACCAGACACGTTGTTTTTTTTATTTACTCCGTGTGAATGTAAACATCTGTTGAATATTGGGGAAATTACTTCATCATAATTGTTGCCATCTACTGAATATTTCTAACTGGAAAATGAGAGGGGAGCCTTTTGAATATTTACACACAGAAATGGACCAAAACAAGTGGATAGTATTGAGGACCATTGCATTGTTGCAGGTTGCCAGAGAACCCCATCACCTGTTTAATTTTAAGACGCGATTTAGTTGCGAATTATATACACCCAGATCAGGATATTTTGCGTAATGGCATCAATGAAATGTTTCACATGGCATTTTTAAGTTTCTCGGAAAATGGAACAGTTAATTTAAGTGATTTTTAAAGCCATTTATGTAGACTTCAAATCTAGAGTTGGGTGGGATTTCTGTCATTTTCATGCGTGCGTGTTGTGTGGTGGTGGGTGGGGGAGAGGGGGATCCATTAATGTGTTTTTTTGCCTACAGCTGATGACTGTATTTGCAAATTTGTGATCATTTCAAATTATTTCAGGCGAGAAAACGGTCCTTATTTGAAGACATTGCCCCAGTCACTTTCTCCATCGCATTCCTAGAGGGTAACGCCTGTGGAACTCGCAACCTGTAAGGATTGTCTTGTCGTGACTGTGTTAGCAATTGGACATTTAAAGGCAACGTTTATATTTAAACCTTACATTCTTTGCGCCTGTAATTGAATCTATGAACAATCAGAACACTTACGTCTTAATATTGTCTGGATGTTACCCTATCTGAGGGTGAATTCGTTCAGGACAGAACTTGAGCTGATCCAGGCATTTGGTTGAATATCTATCTCCTTTGGATATAAAATCACGCGTGCAGTACTCGATGCAAAGAGTGTATGTTCGGCCCCAAATCTACCTTCTCAGAAAAAAAATGGTTTTAGTTTATCAAGTAAATTTTAAAAATTGTGAATTTTTTTTTCTCTCCCGAAACTCACATTCGCTTAGAACGGAGCACCTTAAGAAACTCGCCCAAGGTCCTGAATGTTTTTCAATTTGAAACAAAATTCGACTAAAATCTTACATATCCTTCGTGTGCTATATTCAAAACACAATTTACCAGCAAAGACGGTCGTGGAGAATTGTACTGAATGTATAAAGTAGGACAAAGGCACTGGGCGAGGATGTTGGACAGAGAATCAGGGTTCAATATCGACAGGGCGTGGCAGGTGGTGGGTACCATAATATGCCAAAGCATCCGAGGATGAAACAAAGCCGCGGCATCAATTGGCTGCAAATAGACCATTTACTAATATGTCAATTTGCAGCGATATATTCTTCTTTTTAATGTTTTGCCCTTTTTTTTTTCATTTTGCCAAGAGCCGGAGAACTTCGTGTGGATGAGACACCTAGTGTTTGCAAATATAATAATAGTCTGCTAATCAATGCTAATTGTGGGAAAAGGAGCCAACAGATAGACGGGTGGAGCTTCGCTCCAGTTAAAGGTGGAGAATCAATTAAACAGTCACGTTCCTCATCAGTCGCATTCATGGCATAAAATATTTTCACTGAAAATTAGTAATTTTTTAATGTATTGAAATACCCACATAATTTACCCGAGAATACGGTGTTCTGTTCTTTATTGGACTTTTTTTAAATATATATATATTTAAAAAATGAATTGGATGGTTGAATTCGTGTTTTAAGTATTTTGGATGGATGAGGTATAGCACTGGTAATTAATTCACTGTGAGGTTACCCTCCTCGGCAGATGTAGAAAGAATTGATCTGAAGTTGGAAGTATTGCAGATTCTAGCTGTTGCAGCGGTGCCTGTGAGAGTAACATTGTGGATTACACGATTTCGGGATTTGCTCAGTTTGACCGCCTTTGCAGTCAGGACCTGTTAGAATTGCATCATGTAACGAAGGCGGAAATGAATGCTGAAATAGTAACGTGTTAACGGCAATGGGAGCTCTCGCTGTGTGTGTGTGGGTGTTGGTCTTGGCCGCTCCAGAGGGTGTGTGGCTTTAATGGGAAGGCTGGAGACTTGGGAGAGGCTGCGCGCAGCCGCTGTGTGCTGCAATACTAAGGCTAACATTGCCAGCTCGGGCTCAGCGCCTGCACATCTGGAGACAGACCCACTGACCGACTGGCTGACTGGCTGACTGACTGACTGGCTGACTGACTGACTGGCTGGCTGGCTAACCAGCTTGGTTGGCTGACTGACTGACTCCCTGCCTGACTACCTGATTGACTGACTGAGCGCCATCGAAAATGCCTGTTGGATTGGACGCTGGTACCCACGAGAACCCAGGCCGATTGCAAGGGAAAACAATCCGTGTGAGCAGTTTAACTCGCTTTAACTTTGCGCACAGATTCTCACCACGGTCTGCGTGTTAGTTAAAGAACCGACTTCAAAGATTCCTTCTTACTACTACCGGTAAGATATGTCTAACCCTCTTGCCTTCCAATACAGAGAGACAGATCATTGCATTATGAAGTTGACTTTGTCATTGCAATTAAATCCAGACTGGTGAGGTGATTGGGTGTTTTCATAGCCACAATACAGCACAGAGAGTAGCACATCTGAGCCTTTGTGTTTGTTTTTAAAATATATATACAGTTATTGTGCATTATTGTACATTCTCTTCACTCACACTCGGTGCTTTACTGTACTATAACCATCCTAGACATTCACGGGATGTCTGTCAATTAGAAATGGATGCCAGACAGTTCCCCGATCAGTGCACAGGTCCGAGATTTAATGTTAAGTGATTCATCCCCCAATGGTCACGTGCATGTCGACTATTTTTAATGAATATTTTATCGAAGCAGTGACTTTAAAAACAACCCCCCCCTCCCCCCTCCCCGAGCAAAAAATTCAAAACCTCATCATTATGGATTGATGTTCGAAGCTAATTGATTTAGCCGATGATTGACAAGTCGTAGATGAAGCATAATCTTCAAAAGAGGTGCAAAATGCAAACTCTCGATTAAAATCGAGTTACATTTACACGGCTCCCGTTTAATTTGTTTCTCAGACGGCGGACGGTGTAAGGCAATAAGCCCCACCTTATCGCATTTAGATGTATCTACTTTCATCTACCTTACCTGGATGAAAGGCTGAGTTATTCACATTATTTAAAAAAAATAATATTCCAGATGTAAGTGATGTGGTTGTTCCTCTATGCTGTTTAAGAAAATTAATTTGACACAAATATATACAAATACACACACATATATATCACATAATATATACTGTATACATATATACTATTCATATATTAATTATACATAACATGTATAATGTATAAATGTGTATTTGTGGCCGGGACCTGTTAGAATACATATTATATATACATATAAAAGGTGGGGCAATTAATAATCAGATTAATCAACGAGAGAAATTTATCTCAAAGGACTGGAAGTAGTGAATCGATTTTTTTTCTTTCATTTTACACAACCTGGAATTAATTAATTTCTCGTGCACCCACTTTAACTTTATTCTTCTAAAAAAAAACTTGGGGAATTTTGTTTGTTTTGATTGATACCTAACATAACATGACGATTTGACAGGACGCTAAGGAAGTCGATTGGCGAAATTCAATCTGAATTCACACGAATTTATTACCGAGGCTCGTTTACCCACAATCACCAAATCAGAGGCGAAACAAATACAAATATTGCAGTTAATACCCCGTCGTTATGAAGGCTCGCTGTCTGTTGCAATAAGACCATATTCATCTCAATTGCTCTACGATTATTAAGGGTGCGTCTGGATTAATAGAAATCATCTTTAACTGAGGTTTGCGCTCTGTTGTCATTGCGCATTCTTGAATCAAATAGATAATGACTAAACGAGTCATTATTTGGACCCGATTTGCTTCGAGCAAGTTTGTTATTGTGAACGTGGTAGAATTCCTGCACATTTCAGCTCCAGTGTGTGTGTGTGTGTGTGTGTGCACAGTGCACTGCTCGCTGGCGTGTGCACTATAATTGGATGTCAGCATGTATTATTGCTGGGCTAATGAAAACCCGCCTGGGAATTGGCTCTTCACATCTCCATCGGCAGCCGTCGTTATAGTGAGTACAGCTAAGAAAGGACAGGATGTAAAAACTAACCTTAACATTGCACGTTTTCTTTCACTTTTACAGAGGGCGAAGATGTTAGAGAAATTACTGTGTGTAATAAGCGTCGGCTACGTTTTCTGCCCATGGGGTGTGCGAGGCTGTCCCGAACCATGCGTTTGTCAGGACAAATACTTCAATCAGTTCGCGGATTGCGCTTACAAGAACTTCCAGGCCGTTCCGGTCGGTTTGCCTTCCAACGTGACCACCCTCAGCCTTTCCGCTAACAAAATCAAGTCCTTGCTGCGCGCCGACTTCGCCGAGGTCACTCAGGTGACATCCCTCTGGTTGGCCCACAATGAGATCAGGAAGATCGAGAAGGGGAGCCTGACCGTCCTGTTACAGCTCAAGAACCTTGACATCAGCCACAACCAGATAGTGGATTTCCCCTGGGAGGATCTGTACAACCTGACTGCTTTGCAGTTGCTAAAGATGAACAACAATTACATGGTGCACCTTTCCAGGGATGCCTTCTCCACCCTCAAAGAATTGCGTTCGCTGCGCATCAACAGCAACAAGTTCCACACCATTTGGGAGGGCACCTTTGACTCCTTAAGCTCGCTGTCCCATCTGCAAATCTACAGTAACCCCTTCTCTTGCACCTGCAACCTCCAGTGGTTGAAGGGTTGGATCGACCAAGCCCTGATTTCCATCCCAGAGCAAAAGGACATTGTGTGCTCGGCTCCCGAGGAGTTCAAGGGGACCCCGGTGGTGGAGCTACCGGACATGCAATGTATAGCTCCCCTCGTGCATCTGACTTACCAAGCGAGCAACGAGAAGGGCGAACTGTACGAAGGCTACGCCTTGACCATGCACTGCAACGCCACGGGGAGCCCGGTGCCCGTGATCAGATGGAAAATCCAGACCGCCAACAAGGAGATTGAACTCAACGACGCCAACGTGGAGCCGGAGAGAAATGAGTTACTGCTGGAAAACCGCAAGGAAGTTCGCGATCGTTTCGTGGTGTTGAAAAACGGTACTCTCGTTATCCCTCACCTGACCAAGTACGAGGAAGGAGCGTACACCTGCCTGGCCACCAACGAGATTGGGAGTAACCGCTCTACTCTGAACGTAGCGGTGACCGCTTCCCCCAAACGCGAGCCCACCTACATCCAGGAGCGCATCCCAAGCCAACCGGGCGAGCGCAAACCCGGGCTAAAGCTGCCTAAGAACAACGCCATTAGCTGGGCCAAACCGGGACAGAAGGGTCAGCGGATCAGCCCAGCAACGGCTCGGAGCTTCCCGGGTCAAGGAACCGAACGCAACGCCGTCTTCTTGCCTCCCGTGGCCAAGAACTGTAGCAAGAGCCAGGGCAGTCACTACATCACCAACCACGCCTTCAACCGGAGCTCGGAGATGAAGCAACACACCTTCGACTACGGGATCATCGCCTTGGAAGTGACGGAGACCGACGCTAAGGTCCAGTTGACCCCATTCCAAACGGCCCCGGACAAAATCAGCCTGGAAATGCTCTACCTGTGCGCCGAGCAGGGGGGGAAAGCGGCCACGGTTGTCCAATGGTCCATGATCGAAAGTGGGGTGAATTCTTACCGATTCCAGGGCTTGAACCCAGGCTCCAATTATACGCTTTGCCTGACCTACACCGGGCAAGACTGCCAAGTGCAAGTGGTCTTCAGCACCAGAAGGAAGATCCCATCTCTGCTCATCATGATCATAGTCAGCTCCTTCCTCCTGGGCCTGGCCACCATCCCGCTGGTGGCAGCCACTTGCTGCCATTTGATGTACAAATACCGAGGCAAAACCTACAAACTCATCATGAAAACCCAACCGCCCGAAAGCCTGCACCAGAACGCGCCCTGTACCTTCGACCCAAGCGCGTCCTTCCAGGGGTCGGAGAAGATCTACAACCCCAGCGAGGTCGGGGAGGAGAGTGTGGTGGCAGAGTCTGTCCCCGTGTCCCAGACGAAAGCCAACCCTGAAGAATTCGAGGCTTGCTCGGAGTACAGCGATCGGTTACCTCTGGGGGCAGAAGCTGTCAACATCTCCCCGGAAATCAACGGCAACTATAGGCAACCGGTGCGTTGATCAGTCACTACCAAACAGTCAAATACGCACACACACACACACACATACACACACACACACACACTGAGACATCCCACACAAACAAGCAGTGAATTATAGTATACAACCCCGTGGATTGATTCCCAATCGCTGCCACGCTTTTCCAGATCCCAGGAATGTTGCTGGTGATTGACAGCAGCGCCTGGATCGGAGGGTTTAACGTGGAATATGCGATGCCACCACCGACTGTGTGGTGCTGGAGAGGGAGAGAGAGAACATCCAGCTCACCTGCTCTGCAAAAGACAGCCTTTTTGAGTCGTGCTAAAATAGCGCTCTGGAATATTTGTTACAACGTTTTGAAATCTATTGCTGCTTTTGGGACTCAATTTATAAAATTGTTTATTACTTTTTAGACAATCGTGTCTTTTGGCATGTCCACCGGTCAAAAATACCCCCCCCCCCCCCATTCCCAACCCCTTTTAAAATGTGTGCATATTCCGGATATTAATATAGTGAAGAGTTGTAGCCATGCGGTGTATGTATCCGTCAATGTTTATATACGGTAAGGTTCCTGCAAATATTTTACATTACGAATGGTGCGGAACAGACAGACGTTCGCCGTGTTGAGATACTCAATGTGTTGTTGCATCGGTCGGTTTATGTAAAGTTCTTGTTTAAGTCCCGTTACGAGGTGCATTTTGTGTAAGGAAACATCAAACCATTGTCGTGCTACCAATAACAGTCAACTTGTGGGTTTCTAGCGCTCGTTTCTGGTCCGACTGACTTCATTCCATCCCCAAACCTGGCAACAACAACCGGGCTTTTTTGATACTCGTTTATGTACGTGTTCAGTCAATTAAAAGGAAAGTATTCGAAATACACGTCTGAAGTGTTGTTTCTTTTTAAATAACTAAAATCCAACGCGGATTCTGACGATCTTTCTTCGTGTCATGTGCTGTAGTTTAGAGATTTAGACCACTGTTAATCTCACAAACAGTAACCAACATTCAACAAAAATATTCATAAAACAGGTCACCCCCCGCAATGAAAGAAGAATGTCGGGTTCCACATCAAATCCTAGAGTTCGATCTATTCTACATTTTAGAATCTATGAAATAGATTAAAATCTTAATCAGTTATCAGCATCATCAGTTGTGGTTTATCCCCATAACTAAATCTAATCCACATATTCCAGTATCCATCTTCCACAGTAGGTCAAAGCCGATGATCATGAAACGGAGCCATTCGGGCTTGGATGGCGTCAGGTTCAATGGCTGGATTGCATTGAGAAAAGATAAAATAAGATCTCAGCCATGAGCTACAATTAGGATTGGAGTAGAAAAGACCAGCCTCGGTCCCCACCCCATCACCACATTTTCTAATTAACGTGCCTATGCTTTCAGGTCGGTGAGGATGGGATCAACAGAGTACTGACATTTACAATGCAGGTTTTCTCTCATTGAAGACTGGTCACTTGAGTGAGGTAGAGGAGGGTGACTGGGAAGCTATATCCCAGCACGAGTCTATGTGTCGAAGAGAAGCAAGAACGTTTTGAGGGACCCTTTACCACCATTGTATAACCTGATCTTTTCTGAAATGCTTTTTACAGTATTTTTGGTATAGAATTGTATCGCAATAATGTGCCTATTTTAGGTTTCATATCTGGACAACGTGCACAGCACAGTAGATAGGTCCGTAAGCCAAGCGCATCCCACATCGATGAAGAAGTCGGGTGACCTCCTGGTCTGTGATGCCAGCGTTGGTTGGAAATTCTGTGTTGGTTTCTGTTCTCCCATTCCCCACAGCTCCTGCCTCCCCAACCCCACAGCACCTCCAGGGTATTCCTTTCAGCTGCTCCCAGCAATCTCACGCCATCAATAGGAATTCCCCCGACTCGAAACGCCGCTAGTGATGAGTCTTTCTCCCCCTCTTTCCAGCTGAGAATGTCTATTGCTCTGAAACATGCTGTCTCTTTCCAGCACATCTTTCTATAGCTTGGCCTACAGGCAAGAACAGCGCTGGCAAATGAATATAAATTAAGGTCGCTTCTCAGTACTTTAAACTAGTTAACCTTTAAAACTCCTAGACCTTATGTGTATACAGTATACACATATTTATTTCCACGTGGGGAATTTTAAGTTAACTCTTCTCCTCTCCGTACAGAATTAATCAATCAATTATAGAAATGGACACACAGCGTTAAGAATGAAATGAATGCAATTCGTTTCGTGATTTTTTTAAAATAAGTTTAATTCCTCCTCTTGCTGCAGTGATCTTGCCCATTGGGGATCAGTTCAGTTAGCAAAGTAGCTCAGAAACCACAAACAATGAGACATATCTGCTATCTCGCTCCCCTCTCAAATGATATAATGGACACATTACCTCTTAAGCTATAGTTTTAGCTGCTGAGAAAGCCACAGTGGGCACATGACAAGTGCCTCACCACACAGGGGAGGAGGAGAGAGAGGTTAGAAGGGAAATAAAATATACCTTGGGCTTTTGTTAGCTTTCTTATAACACAGAGGAAGTGTGCAATAGATAAGGTTAGAAGGAATTTCTTCACTCAGATGGCCATTACCATGTGGGGTTTATTGTTACAATTGACTATTGAGTCTGAATCAATGGAAATCACTATGGGGATCTGGTTGAACACTTGAGAGGTAACATTAAGGAAACAGCTGAAGTGCTATTAATAAAAAAACCTCCATTTAAGCATAGACGCACACACAGATGCAGCAATGGCAAATGGTCTCCCAATGGTCTATCATAGGTATGGATTGGACACATATAATAATAATAATCCTTGCATTTGATATAGTGCCTTATCAAGTCTTCGAGACATCTCAAAGCACTTCACAGAATGTACTATAAAGTGAATTGACTGCATATTTTGTGGGCGAATCGCAGAAGCCAATTTCACACAGCAGTGTCCCATAAAGAGCCATGGATTGAGTGACCAATTTATTATTGTTATTTTTTTGAAGAAATTATTACCCCTGGAAAAATGATCAGCCAATTGACTAACAACCAGGTTCCTACATACTGATAGGTAAACAGAGGTGTGTGGAGTAAGGAAACTTGCCCAACATTCGCCCTGCCAGGAATCAAACTGAAGTCTCTCTTTTGCATTAGAGTGCTCTAGTCACTGAGCTACATCCAATCTTAACAATGTATAATATTTAGGGGAATGTTCAATCTTCAGGCCAGGGGTTAAGAAAATAAACACATCTGGATGTTTCAGGATTAACTGATCTTTAAAAGATGCAAGGTTTTACTTCCATAGAAAATCCACAATTTCAAATATTATTTACTCAAGTGCACACATAATCTATTCAAATGTTCTCGTATGAACTAAACATTGGAAACTGTGTACAATTATACAATTTCTAGTCAGGCAATTCTTCACAAGTTATGACATTTAAAAAAAGTCATGTTTCTTCTTCGTTTCTGTCCAGATTTAAAAAAACACAAATAATGTATCTAAATCCAAATGTGAAAAGATTGGTAAAGTGGGGCAAGGATGAAACAATATCCAAGCATAGAAGTCCCATACAAAAGTCCTGATTCCAAGTACAACATTACTTGGTAAATTACTGTATGTAGACAATAATACAGGATGGGGTTTGCAAAATGCTGTCAGTGCATTTAATTTGATGTGTTACTGCAGGCTTCTCCAATGATTATTTTGGTTACATGGCAAGAAGCTGGTTTATAAAGATCTTATTTTTAAATTTAAAAGGATGTCCCTTTAAGCTCACCAAAAAAGCTATGCTCATTAGATATACTGTATCTTGCAGTACAAGAAAAAAATATTGTTATATACCTACATGGAATTGAAATGCATGCAGCTTTATAGATTAGGTTTGCATCTCAGTGTACACCACATTTTTAAAGACATCCAATCAAAACACCATAACTCATTTTTACTCTTTCTGCTAAGTACATATTCAAATTACATCAACTCAGTTTCTATTCAACAAATTGGTGGTCTCGTTTGTCGTTGCAGGCAAAATAGTTTCACATCAAATAAATTAGCAAGTACGTGTGGAAGGAGGGGTCCAGCAATTCACTTCCGCGCACGTTTGACTTTTGTTGATACAGAATATCAGAATCAACAAGTGTCCCAGTACATAGGAGTGACAGATGGCAGACTTCACACACCTGCTATTAGCAGCCACCAGGCAGCACAGACCAGATGTCAACAAATGTAAATGCCTTGGTTTTCAAAATAGTTAAACACAAAAATCTTTTCTCTTCCCTCCAAGATGGCCTACTTTTGAGATTGTTCATCTTCATTGTGTAACTGGAGGGACACTATAACTTTAAAGTAGCATTTTGCTGAACTGTTGTGTTCAATTCATAGATTTAATATTAAAAAATAAGAAATAGGCACTCACAAACTGACTTCATGCATGTTAATTTGTTTTTATTCTTGTGCAGTCTTGGCTCTAAATGGTTCCTGGTTATTTGAGCAGGTATTTCAGTGTATTTAGACAAATACTTTATGTTAGTAAGTGAAACCAATAACCAAAATGGTGAGAAGGGAAAACGTAGCACGACTGACCTTGCTGTCTAGATTAGGTGCAATGAAAGCTCAGATCTACATCAGCCTATTCACTTCCACATGCCTCAGGTTTATCAAGTTCATCTTTACTGTCCTTGGGGGAGAGGCTCAATTTCCCATTCAAGACCATATCTGTAGACAAGTGACCAATGGACCTTCTGGCATCGACTAGTGAAGGATTGTTCAGTAGAGTGAACAGCAAGCACCACTTTGCTTTTACCCGTTTGGATCTGGCTGCTTTTGTGTATTTGTGGTCAGTTTGCATCAGTTGAATCCCTTGAAGTGGTGAGAAAATCCACAATTAGATCATGATCAGACACTGAAATTTCCTCTTCACACAAATTAGGCTAATGGACACTTTCCCTTTTATGTATAGGTTCTGGAATACTATAATGACAGGTTTGGGAAATGCTGCCCTTTTAAGGCATTGGTTCAATCCACTTATATTATAAAATGCTAGAAAGTGACATTTAAGAGCAAAGCAAAAAAAGTCAAATCTGTGAGCGAGAGGATTACCAGGGAACAAAATACACTTTATAACCCTAATGCCTCGATGCAACACAGTGCCTCACTTGGGAGCTCATCTCAAAGAGCTTCACAGAATTTAGTATGAAATGTAGTGATTGTGTATTTTGTGGGCAAATATGGTTGCCAACAGCAAAGGTCCCTCAAGCAGCCATGAAGTGAATGACCAATTCTATCAGGGAGACTGTAGGCCAGATCACTGAGAGAAACATCCTTCTCGTTTCAAACAATGCCATGGGATCTTTAAAGTAGGAGATCAGGATTAAGTTTCTCCATTAGATTTCCAGCTTTTGTCCTCCATGATAGCATAACTAACCTTCCTCTACATCTTTGCTTTGATGACCACCACCTCGCTCAGATCTTCGGGAATGAAGCAGGAGGGAACAGAAAGCCTTCATGACCGGATGTGACTGGCTGACTTCAGTCTTGAGGAAATTGGTATAAGAATAGTAACCTGGGTTAGGGGGGAAAAAGGATTAACTATTGATACACGCAGGTATTTCCTACAAAAGTAGTCACTATATAAATTTGTGAAACGCTTGCGGGTGACCTACCAATGTGAAATGCACTATTTCAAGTACAAGAATTATTCTTATATTTATATTTCTTGACCTTCCCAGTGACTAAAATATTTGCAGGGTGGGTGTGGAAAAGATGTTGGAAAAAAGGGGAACGGAGGTGGATGGCACAGGCACTTTCACACAGGAAATGCAATGGAGTTGGGGGGTGAAAAAGCAATGGGATAAATTATAAATCCTCCTCAGGAACATTTACCAATTTCCTAATGGTTGGTCAGTTCAAGAACAGAATCTCTAGTCGCCTTGGAGCAAGTTACACAATTCATGGAGTGAGAAAATCCAGGATTCTTTACAGTCACAAAACGGGATAAAATCCCATTAGTTACAATTTACCATGGAAATTACACAGTTGGAGGCCATTTAATCTATTGTATTAGTGTTAGCTCCTCTACCCACTTTCCATGTAAATCAAAGGCATTTTGTACAGTACATGCATTTGTTTTATTGCAGAGAATCATGACTATTCACTGCAATATCAGCGATTCCATCATATAACAGAGCACTGATGGTAGAGACTATAACGTTACCTGGGTCAAACATCTCAACCCCACGATTGAGCAGCCCAAGGTCCAGTCGACAGAAATGGATAACATTGAAGAGTGCCGTAAGAACCAAACGCCAAACCGCAGCAATAACTCCTATCAGCACATTGAATGTGAATAGAAGGTAGGTGAAGATGTAGAGTGTTCGTCTGAGAAGAACAGAAGAATTGAAATGCATTGTGAAATATTCCATGTGCACACACCCATTTTAGGTAGTTTCCTGTTCAGCTTTCAAATATAAGATAGGATATTTATTCCATACCTATTTGTGACACTGAATGTTTCTCCATTTTTCTGAAGGAAAATGAAACGAGCCAACATATGTTGGAGTAAGACTATCAGAATTAGCGTTAACCAGAATGGCCTTTAAAAATAAGAGAAAAAACAAATATGGATCACAATATTCCCCATGTAATGATAGATCAAGAAGTTCCATTTAAAAATTTAATTCTCTCTCTCCCTCTCCAATAAGTAACATTACTCACCACATTCTCTCCAGGATTTGGAAGATGATCATGTTTTGGCCAGTGAGAATGGGAATGACGATGAGAAAAGCAAATAGCAGGAAACAAAGAAAGATTACTATTTGTTGAATGACAAGACCTAAAAAACGGAGAGATGAAAAGAATAAGAATACACAACTACAGATTTCACCAGACAACAGCTTATTGAAAGTTACACATTGCAAATTAAATAAGACTACCCAACTATGCTGAACATGCATTTACCTTAGGTATTTCCCAGAAGGTCATGACTGAAATGAATCAGGAAAATAATAGCATAAAGTAGCAAATAGATTCTATTCTGAAGCTATTACATTAAATAACAAAAAGTTATAATAGAAAATGCAGACACAGTTGAATCAAGAGCATTTAGAATAAGCAAGCAGAGGGAATCTTGAATATATGTACATTTTACATAAAAAAATACAATACACAAGCACACACACCTTACAATTTGCTAAAATAAAATTTCAGTAACTATTAATTTTCAGAATTTGAAATCTGCAGGCAATAATCAATACGATTTTAAACATTAACTATTTAAACTCAAAAAACAACAAGATTCCATTTATAGAGCGCCTTTCATGTCGGGAGGACGTCCCAAAGTGCTGTACAGTTGGATCAGGACCCGAGCAGGGGGGAAGTGGTCAGGGTGAGGGGAGGGAAGGGAGGGAGCGAGGAGGGGGTAGAGAGTTGAGAGGGGAGCTGAAGGCACGGTCAAAGAGAAAGGTCTTGAGACCGGCCTTGAAGGAGGAAAGGGAGGAAGTAAGGCGAAGGCACTGGGGAATAGAGTTCCAGAGCCTCGGGGCTGAGAGGCTGAAGGCCCGGCCACCGATGGTAGGGGGGTTGGGGCGGGGGATGTGGAGCAGACCGGAGCCAGAGGAACGGAGGGTATGGGCAGGTAGATAGGGGGATAATAGGTCGGAGAGAGCAAGGCCGTGAATGGCCTTGTAGGCGAGGATGAGGATTTTGAATTCGATCCTCTGGGGGATGGGGAGCCAGTGGAGGCGAGCGAGGGTGGGAGTGATGTGGTCCTGAAGCCTGGTACGGGACAGTACACGAGCTGCAGAGTTCTGAATGACCTACAGCTTGTGGAGGGAGATACCGGGAAGGCCGGCAAGGAGAGAGTTCCCATAGTCCAGCCTTGAGGTGATAAAGGCATGGACCAGAGTTTCAGCAGCGTGAGGGGTGAGGTAGTGCCGTAGTCTTGCGACGTTCCGGAAGTGATGGAAGGCGGTGCCAGTTGTGGCGCGGATATGGGGGAGAAAGGAAACTCAGGGTCGAACAGAACACCTAGGTTCCTGACTGGCTTTGAGAGGTGGAGAGTGCAGCCTTGGATGCTGATGCTGTCAGCGCCTGAGGTGTGGAGGTGCTGACTCGAGCCAATCAGGAGGGCCTCAGTTTTATGCACATTGAGCTGAAGAAAGTTGTCTCTCGGCCAGGACTCGATGTCAGACAGGTAGGCTGTCAGGACATCGGTGGTCGTGGAGTTGAGGGTAGAGGAGGAAAGGTCATCCGCATACATGTGGAAGTTAACCCCATGTCTGCAGATGATGTCACCAAGGGGGAACATATATTCTGGAGGGACAAAGAAAATGTGAATGTATACTTCAGACAGTGACTGTGGGGGTGTGGGGTGGGAGGGCGCATGGAAATAAGCAAAAGGGTGACAAGTTTTCTAAGTTAAAGTGGAAGTTCATCAACTACAGGACTCATTACATTAATCAGAGTGTCCACAACCAGTTACCTAAACAGACATGGGCAGCCTGGTAGCCAGTGAAACACATCCAGGAGGCAATGCTAGATCTCGAGGGTCTAATACGCCTTTTACAGTTGAAGACTCTTTGAGTATCCCCTCTGTAAAGAGCCCTGAGGTTGTCTCTGTAATGAACAAATGCAATTTCATGCTTGCTTGGATCCATATTGCTAGCATTATGTAAGCAGTACATATATAGATATACATACACAGACAAATCTGACAGTGCAGTGTATAAATTATTTAAATAGAACGGGGACCATTTCTTTGTCAGTGTCAAGGTTGATAACTGGCCCACAATCGCACAAAACTAATACAAACTTGCAATACAAAAAGGAAAAAAATGTGATGAGTATTCCAAACTAAAATGCTTCTAAAATCATCACATTGAACCATGGAGAAACCATTCACATTTGATGCCTTTGCATTTGATATATTTAAATGGATCACAGGACAGTTTACATATCCAAGTACATTGCCCTTGGGAGGAATGACCGCTGAATTGATTTAAAAAATTACCTGTGTAAAACCATTGACCTCATTAATGTAAGAAGAGTCAGAACACAGGAAACAGCCACAGCAGACAGATAGCAGACTGTTGGAAAAAGGAGAAGAAAAACTTCCATGTATTAGTCAAATATTATACATCATATTTTTCCATATTTTATCCATTATTATAGCCTAAAATGGTTGTTGCATTTTGTCTACAAAATAATTACTGCATTCAACAGTAAGTACCTTCAACCACCCAAAAGTAGTACTTGACAATACCGACAACTTCAGCCCTATTTTGGGAAAGGCTAACATGAAATTCATCAAGCAGGTAGGAGACATCTTCTTGGACTCCAGACCTTGCCTTCTGCAGGGTGGGTATAACACCCACAATGATTAGAACAGCAACCTGCAGGAAATGTGGGAGAGGATACCATTAGCAATACTGCAAAAAATATTATACATATCAAATATATACATGTATTATATATATTTATGCAATGTCATGTGGGGAGGCCATCTTAAGCATTACGTTTATGAAAAATATTCCCAGATGTAAAATTCATCCTATTTAAACAATTAATTAAAATGACTAAGATTTATCACCTTCATAAATCACTTAATATCAGCAGCTTTGCATACATTTATCTGTATGCTTGTAGTAATTAAGCAATATCTAACAAACACTCATCACATTGGGCATTCACTCTAAGCAAATACAAAATATTTATTGAATGTTTATTCTGAATTGCGCTGAAAATGTCATCTGATCTAATTAGTTATTAGTTTAAAATCATTAAAAGTGTTTACCTGATAGACAGAAACTATTGCCACAGTCATAGTTATGACCAGTTTTGTTGGTACTCTGAAGCCTGAAAAGGATGGAAAAAGAAATGTTACTTGCAATAAAACTCTCCTCCAGAATCTCTCTCTCTCTGGTCAACCTATTATTCATTCTTCTACTGAGTGGATAAACATTTGACTGACATCCGAGATTTCAGCCAATCTTTGACAGAGAACAACAACGACAAAATTACATTTGTATAGTGCCTTTCACGTCGTGAGGTTGTAGAAGGAGAAAGAAAAGAACATGGATATAAAGAGGCCTGCCCACTTCTACGGAATTCCCTCCACGCATTGCCTTGCTGGGATGACAAATTTATTGTATAAGTGATCATATGGACCAAACTAGGTGCTAACAACCCATGGCAGAGCAAGCCAGTGCACCAATGTTTGGGTTTTCTAAAACCCAGTTGAAAGTTTCATTATCAGAGGGATCATTAGGAAATAATCTCAGAGTTCGAATAAATGAGATTGGGACCACAAATGCATTGCAATAAGTCTGAAACAAAGCTCAGATCCAGTCCAGAACAGCACAGAATGCCTGAATGAAATAAAATTGCTGTGATTTACAGAGATGTAAACTTTTTTCTGATAAACTAGACCGGAGGGTAGTTCAAGATTCCAAGTTAAAGTGATCTCATGCGGACCAACATTCCAGAACTACAGGATTTGTTTGAGAATATGAGAATGATTGAGGGCATCAATTGAGAACGCTTCCTTGGCAAGCTTTTGTTGCGAGATGACAGATTGTCCAATGATTTCCACTCTACATCAAGACTACGTTAGATCCAGTGTTTCAATTTACAATCGATAGTCAGGTCCACCACAAAAAGTGCTTTGTGAAAAGGAATGAGAAATGGCAGAAACAGGAATTTTGACTGATGTTAAGATCTAAATCACATGTGTTCATCTGCTTAACCTAACTATAGGAGCATGTGACATGGTATGCAGGTCATTACCATGTGACCCATTGATCTTGTTCAATGTCCAAAACTTCGACAGCTATTAAAATTTAAAAACTCGCTCTGTCAATATTTCAGGCTATTCACCGCATCTATTCCTTTTGTGTAGAGGCCAATAACCAGCTTCAAAATAGCAACAATATTTCATTTATAGAGCACCTTTCACGTTGGGAGGACGTCCCAAGTCGCTGGACAGTTGGGTCAGGACCCGAGCAGGGGGGAAATGGTCAGGGTGAGGGGAGGGAAGGAAGAGAGCGAGGAGGGGGTAGAGAGTCGAGAGGAGAGCCGAAGGCACAGTTAAACACCATTTAAAGCCAAGAAAATTCCATTCCTGATCCGATTTTTATCAATAAAAGTATATATACCTGATAGAAAACTGAATACTTTCATTTGGCATTTAAGACAAGTTCATACACCCTTTTCTGCTAATAGCTAAGACACATCCAATTTACTGTGCAAACAGCTGTTCCTTAGCAGATAACTGTTTGTAGGACATTGCTGTGTGCAAATCACTGCCATGTTCGCCTACAAAAATAGTCATTACACTTTAGTGAATCCTGTGAAATGCTTTTGAGATATCCTCCTGATATAAAAGGCAATACATCAAATGCAAGGATAAAGATCATGATCATGGCACAGGTCAAAACATATAGCAGGGCTGAATTGGGTGCCATTTTCCTATTTGAATACTTGGTTCATTTTGCACATTTAGAATTGTTTTTTTTGGGTACACACAGTTTGCATTTTTATCAAGTGTAGACGAGAATCCTCAGCTACATGAATTACCTTCCATTGGTATGTAGATGTACGATCGTATCACTGCTCCTATCCGAGAAGGGATGCTTACCTGCACTGGCTCAGCACTGAGTGTGGAGGAGAGAGAAAAAAAAGCAGAACATTTTAGTTAAACACATAAAATGTGAGACAGGAACACAGAACTTTAAAATGGCCGAGGATGCAATTTATTTTGCAGCTAAATGTAAACTCATCTCACCCTTGAGATGGCTTCTTTCTCAGCATAATCTTGACATAATCAGTGTAATATGCATTAGAAAGGCACTGCAGAGAAAGAAATACAAACAGACAAATCAGGAGCAATACAACCCTGGTTTAAAAAAAAGGGAAAGATTTATCCTGGAGAAATAATTACTCAAAAAGCATATAGATGAGCAATGAGTAATGAAGCGGGTGCACTGAAAATGTTCAAACAAACTTTCCTGTTGACACAGCAAGCTTATTCAATAACTTGCTGACAAAATGTCAATTCAATATTCGGTTGGTGCTGTGGATATCAGTCATAGCAATATTTTGCACATCTACAGGATGTTTGACATTGCACATAGGATTATTGTCTCAATGTCAATCTTTCGAGAAAATAGAAAATACCAAGCAGAGAAAAAAGGAGATTTACCAAAGAAAGATAATTAAAATACAGGGGAAGAAATAGGGTTTCAAGAGTTTTGAAAGTAGTGAATGGTGAAGAGAACATTTTGGAAGATAGCTCCAAAGGTCAGAGGTATAGTGCTTGAATGCTGAGCAACCAATTGAAACTCGGAAGGCCAAAATCTGTCCTTGAGGTGATGAGGCCATGAATGAAGTTTAGAGTAACAATCTGGGCAAAGCACAAGAACTTTTATCTTGTGTCCTTCACGGAGTGTAGCAACTTAGTGTGTAGAACATTCAGCCTAATTTAGGCTGAAGGAGCAACCAGTGGGACCACATGGATAAGAAATAGTTGAGGATCAGATAATGATTGTGGGGAGGATAGGTGGGCGCTCATCAAATTGAAGGCAAATTAATGCAGCAGAAACAGAGGATAAAACTGTTTGTGGGACTGTGAAGGTTAAAGGAAGGCGGCCTATTATAAAAGATGACTGTAGGCTAACGTACAACAACTTTTCAGGATTCAACTGAAATAGCACGTCCCTCAGCTGCTTAACCACACATGGAAAGCCTCATTGAGCCCTGAACATAATACACTTTGTATTTGGAGAGGGACCCAATGCAGCAACAGATTTTATCCCAACCAATTAAGAACATTACTCTGACAGTCTGGTACAAGCAGTGTGGAGATTAGAATGAGCCTTTCGAGAAACTAGATAGCTACTGAAAACACAGTAGGATTAACCCAATATAAAACCATCAAAACCAGTTCAACTAACAGGGGAAATGGAGGACAAAAAGAACATAGAATCTAAATCCTCAGCTACTAAATTATGTTAATCAGTTAGTTAATCGTTTAAGATGCATTAACATGGGGACTGCATTTATTCTCATTTGGCATAGTATTTTTCTGAATGAACACTGTTCTTATTAAATTGTAACCAATGTGGGAAATGGTGCTAAAATCGCATTATGTTAGATTTATGCAATGCGAATTCATGATCTTCTCAGGCAGTGGTTATCAATTATTTCAATACATCACGAGAATTTAAAAAGTTTAATTTAAGAAGACAACAATATTAGTTTCTGAGTCAGAGATTTTACCAAATGAACATTGTTTTAATCACTAACTCAATTGAAACAGACTGTGCTGCTAAACTTTGTACCTTGGGAAGTTCAAAAATGATAAGCTTTTAATCTATCACAACTGAACAAGCAGACATCCTCATCAGTCCCTGATTTTGATTGAAGACTACAATCACTGCCATCAAATTTGACACTTACCTCATTTGAGCCAACTTTTCCGGACGTCTCATCATTCTTCACTAATAATAAGGGATAAAGTAAACTAAGGAATGCCAGAAATAAGAGCTGAGGAAGACTCCTTATCAATGAGAAATATTTGTATATCTGGAAAATGAAAGAAAATTTAAAGACTGGTTACTACGCAAAATCTGTTTACAAAGTTTTTCATTCCTGCTTGCCACGCCAGATTAAGCTGGAATGGTCTTGCAATATTCTAAAAAAAAGTGTACAAACTTTCTTTCCTTGAATAAAAAAAGTGAATTGAGAACAGTAGTCTGCTGTTTTATGTATTCAGATAGTTATTCTTTAAAAAAAGTTCCCTCTCAACTTCTTGTATGGGGCAGCTTCACTATGCTATAAAACAAATTCTTTAGTGCTTAAACTATCAGAAATTCATACCACACTTCCCTTTCCATGGTGTCTCCCAATTTAATTTCCCCCCTCCATTTGGAGTGTGGGAAGAAAAAGTGACCCTGAGCCATGCACATTTCAAATTGCTGTCAAAATCATTCCATGACAGGGTATCAGAAGGTACCTCACCTATTGACCCAGCTAAGAAGCACAACTCTCAGTATTCATCCAGTCAAAGTTCTTCCTGGATTAGTTGGGCAATAAGCCTTTTTTCCAAACCCGCTCACCCAGTTACTTTCCAATTACTCTTTTTCAAACCAATTCCCCTACATCTGACAGGGCTCCCAAAAAGTAAAGGAATAGCCCACATAAATGTCAGTGGAATAATAATTTCCACTAATAATCTGGATTCCATTGCCATCATGTCTGTTCTAGCATCAAACAAGCAAATGGAAATTGGAAGAATTCACAGAAGAATACACATCCTGCATAACTATTCAGCAAGCACTGGGAACAGATGTTGCAGATAGTGAATTATCGACCAGGCTACTTCACCCATAATTATAGAGCATTCTGTGGTCAGTTGGGGAGAAGGGGGTTAAGAGAAAGAAGGAAGATGAAAAAACACTAATGAACAAAAAGCTTTGCTTGGTTAATCACTGATCAGCATTGATGAAAAAGCAATGACCTGGAGAGCAAGCCACCTGTTCTCTTGGTGGGAAAGTCACAAACATGGAGCCAGTGTTGGAGAATTCAAGATCAACAGTGCAGAATTTGGGGGGATATTTTTTTCTGTCAATCTGCACTAGGAAGCGATAGATCAATTCATGTGGTTCTTGTTTAACAAGCAGTTTGTACTAGATAATTGGATTTTATTTGTTATTCAGGTTAAAGAAAGTAAATTCAGAATTAAAATATTCATTCAACTGAGTTAAGCAAAGAGGCCTACTTTGGGGTGGTGAGAAGGTTTTTAAAAGGCATCAAATGGCAACAATAGCATTATTTGTTTAGTAATTAGTGCTACAAACAAAATCTAGAGATTAAAACTTTAAAAATGCGTGCATAAGCAAAGTACCTCGAGTGAATAAGGGCATTCAGCCTTGTGCCAAATCTGGATTCCGCAGTGAACCCAGGAGAGCAGGCTACCGAGGAGGTAACCTGCTTTGCTCTTAACAGCTGCACATGCAAGAAGGGATAGTACAGAGCTGGGTAGTACAGCAAGGCCAGGATCTTCCAGTACTCTGAAAGTAAGAGAAACTGATTTAGTATTTGGAAAGGTGTCAGCTGCTTAAATTACATTGCCATCTGTATGCCACATCCTACAGTATAATCAGTTCATGGTCAACGTGTTCACCCTCCATCATGGTCTCGCCCAAATCCGAAACCATCTTTCTCATTCGCATTCTGATCGGTCTGCAAAGTATTCACAGCATTTTTAAAATGTCATAATTGCAAAATTTGCAATAGAAATTTAAACAGAGCCCCTTTGACCCATCAGACCTGGACCAGTTCTCTTATTAACTCCAAATTCCTCATTTAATCTTCTTTACTCAATTATTCTATGAATTCTGAACAATCCTATGTAATTATTCAAGCCTTTACCTAATTCCCTTTTTTTAATAAAAGTCATAATTGACCAATTGTCGTAACTGATTTCACTTTATAAAACACTCTGCATATGTAAAACAATATAACTTTGAAAACATGTCAGACATTCTATAAAAACCTGGCTATTATGGTTTAAAAGAGATTCTATAATAAACCATTTCAATAGATCATCCAAACTACCTACCTTTATACTCATCCATTCATCTCATCTAAGATTCTCCACCTCTATTTCTAGACATACAATAAAACGGCTGTGTCCATTTACCTTTGGTGTCCTCTGAAGACTCAGCGATGAAAGGAAAAGGTTTGTCATCCAGAACCACAACACACAGGGAACAGAAAACAAGTCCAAATACAGCGGCAGGAATTCCTTTATGAGAGCCATGTTCGAATAGGCCAACAGGACTGAAACACACAGAACAAATGCACGTGTTACAATCGAGGTGGGGAAACAGAGAAAGAACCTTTAAACATGCATTCACTGTTTCTCACGGAACTATTCAAAAATGAGCTATTGCATGTGTAAACTCAACACTAAACGAACAAGACCTGAAATATAGCATACAAATGCAGAGTTGATGGTGAACAGATTTCGTTTGAGTAGGATGTTCTCCAAATCCAATAGTGACAGTAATCACCTATGGTAAATGTATATTTTAAGCAGATTTGCAAATGGACACACCAAACTTTTTAAGATATTTAAAGTAGAAACGAACCCAGGAAGTCAAGCTCAGACGATTGAACTTACTGTATAGTTCATCACATTGAGAAAAGGGGGAAACTTTTCCTGAGATGTACTGTGTAGACAAGTAACTTCTGAAGCTGCAGTTAGCGTGGAAACACTCCTGTACATTTGTGTGTTTTTTTCACCCTAAAACAGATAATAGATGTGGCCGAGTTCTCTCCTCCTCCCTCCCACATATGGAGGGGGGGGAGGGAAGGAGGCGCTGGCAGCTTCAGTAACTTAATAGGGACTCCTGAAAAAAGTAGCAATTGAATAACATAACTAAGAGTCCATGCGTAAAATACATTGAGAAATGCTTTTAAATCCTAGAATATTTAGCAATGACTTTAATAATTGGCGAATGGTTGCGAAGACACCAAGCGATGAAACCCTGTGTCCATTGATAAACCAATCGAACAAGTCACCCGGACCAGTACTCATGATCGGGGAACTCAAGTGCTAAACAGCGAGACAGGGCAGCATTTCCTTGGATTTCCAGTCCTGCTGATGAAGCTAAGGTTACAACAGGTTGAAAGCACACAGCTTAATCAGACTGTGAATATGAGGATTATCAGATAACCTTATTTATTGCGAGAATCTCTGTAAAACTTGGCACATTCTCGCACAGAGTTCTTTTGCAGCATATGCTGCGTGCAAAGTGGCCCATTGGTTTAATGTCGAGAGAGCCCTATATGGGTGTTTTCAGTGGTTCAGTTTGAGTTCACACAGCGTTCATGCCTTGAACTTGAGACTGTAGGTGGAGAACTTAACTGTAATAAGCCGGGAACCCCACCGCATGAATTCCTGCACAGGCGCCTGCGTTTGACCAAGAACGACAGAGCCAGAAGCACAGCGAGCTGGAAGGCAAAATGAGAACACTTTATTTCCATTATTTTTTTCGAGCCCCACCCCCCCCCCCCCAACAAAATTTGCAACCGGACAAAATTAACCTGCAAATTGGAAATGTGCAGATTAATCGTATACAGAGATTCATTGAAGTAAACTTATACTGTGGTTTATATTTGTTGTCGAACTTCACTTTCAAAGTCATAACACATTAATGGGCAGTGCCACTAAGTGGGTTCCAAGGTCCCACTTGAAAATAGGAACAAATGCGAACTTGGCACAAGTTACTTAAACTGAGGAGGGGGTAAATAAACAGGCACTTACTGAAATACCTGCCATGCAGATGTGATACAACTCGACTCGTACCGTGGGATCACAAGGTTCAATAATTCTAAGTAAAAATAAAACAATAAAAGGAGTCAGCTACCGGATGGATGCAAAACACGGGAACTTTCCTTTATTTTTTAAAAAAAAGTTCAATGCAAAGTGATCTGAAAAGAATATATACATATATAAAAAAAAACGTACTCTTTCGGGGGATCTTCCCGGTCGTCAGTGTAGTCGATATTCCAATATGAATAGTCGTCATCGAAAGAATAATTTGTTGAGGCCATCACTTTAACTCGCGTAAAAGGCAACTCAACGTTAAATGCCCCTCCTGAGGATTGCTATCAACGCGGGCGAGTTGGTGCCTTAAGTGACTGGCACCGCTGATCTGGGTAAATGGAACAGAAACACAAGCTCAAAACCTCACACACATACTCAACCCGACCAATAGAATTCCCTCTCCTCCCTCTTCCCCCACCCACCCGTCCGTCAAGATAACTCTGGGCGTGTGAAACTTAAAGTGCGATCAACGGGAAAATGTAAATACAAATGTGTAAGTCCTAGTCGCCAGCACACTTCCAGAGATTAGAGTTGCATAAAAAGTTTAGCACTGGTTTCTAACCGCCTCTCGAGCGTTTGCGCGCATGTCTTAACCAACCAACACCCAATTAATGTGGTCTTAATTCCGGCTTAAAAGGTGTTATCCGTTATTTAATAAGCGCAACAATTAAGCAAATTGTCAGCAGACTAATTGTTACGATACTTCGCACAATAAACCCAAATACTTTCAGATTCCAACCAATACTTATCCTGACCATAGGATATATATGAGTAGGTGCTACTCATAAACTTGATCTTTTTAAAACAAAGTTAGATTGGTTGGTGATCATTAGAAACGTTAAGGAAGCCGGATCATTCAAGGCAGATGGCTCCTGCTACATGCAATGCTTTGCAAGAGCGTACACATTAAAGTGGTCAAGACCAAAGTGCATTTAAAATGAAATTTACAGGAACTATATTCCAAATGGTTTCTTCCATGCTGTAATTTCTACAATCACAGTCAAATAAATATTGTCCCATAATTCAAATCTGAAAAGATATTAATATATTGAATTTGAAACAAAATAGCTTTTGATCTTGTACTTTATTGCACAGTTTGAGCAGGTAGTGTTGAAACCGAGTCACTTTTCATGGGATAAAGTAATTAGATTTCTGAAATATCCCCCCAAAATTCTCTGAATTCAATTCGGTAAGTGCAAATACAACATGATGAGACTCCTGGTATTGATGATTGGCGAACAGTTTTGGCAACTTGGCAAAGTGACCTAATGATGGAATTGACATCTCAAGTGGTTAATTTCCCCATAAGGATAAAGATACCACTCCCTGACATTTTATTTCTTTGGTGGTCTTCAAAAATATTCGTGGGGCGTGGAGGCGGCACAATTATTGATGGAGTTTAAAGTGCTCATGATTGTGGAGCCCTTTTGTTCTCACCAGGGAGCCTGTGTAAAAGTGTAGAGAGAAGATGGGAAGGAATGAAAGGCAGGAAAGATAAATGATTGGGAAAGAAAGCTGGACCATTTACAATGTATAGATAAATGGAAGTAAACACATCAGGAGGAAAGGGAATGCCAGCTGGGCACCTCAGCAGGAGAGAGCTGGGGAATGTGCAATAGCATTGTAACTCTGCAAATGTCTTGCGGATGAACAAACTTTGCACATGTGATAAAGGGTCTAGAAGAGTTGATAACACCCCGTTGCTTGTATGAGTAAAATAGGTCCTTAATATCTGTGAGAATAATTGATGCCATATATCCCCAGCTCCGACATCTCATGTTTGGAGAATCCGATCAATACAGTATCACCAGTTTAGGCAGAAAACCGGTAATTAGAGCATTAGAGCATCCTATAGATATTAACTTCAGTTGTGTACAAGGCAAGACTGAGGACAGTCTTAGACAAGAAAAGTCTGGGACTGTACTGTCATTCATAAAGGCGAACTAACAGTTTTGCAGTTCATTGAGAGCTGAAAATAACCAATGCTTGCATTTGCAAAAAGTTAATTCAATCAAAAATTAAGGAGAATAACTTAAATAAAAGGAATACATTTAAAAAGTCATTAGGCGTTACCCTGTTCCAATAGGTAACAGGCGTTTCAGGCATTAAACGTACAACCTTCGCTTCCATCCATATGGTGTCTTAATTGTCTCTCTTCTTGAACTAACTAAGTGGAACGAAGAGGCCCCACCGACCATTAATACTCATAGGAATGTCAGTCTGTCAGCAGGTCATTCGTCTGCCTATCACAGACATTTTACTCCAGATTCCAAAAAAAACTTCCCACTACAACTGTACAAGTTAAAAAACAAAGCATTTTAAAAACTTGAACAGGAACCCGGAGAGGCAGATCAGGGCATGAACTACAATTACACCTTCTGCACCTGTATAGTGGTACTCTCGTCAGCTAAATACATACTTCGTAATTCAAAACAGGATAGGGACACTCTCCGAAATATCCTTCAAATAGAAACAAAGGGATTTCATACAGTTTCTTTGGACACCCAGATAGATGTGCAACAGGACGATTCGAAATCTCAAACTGAAGAGCAAATAAGGGTTTGGGGTACAGTACAAGAATTAACGTAGGTTATCGAAGAGACTCTACGAATTGGGGAGAAACCCACCCGCTGGATGTTTTGACTACCCTGACGGTACAAGTCTCTCTACAAATCTAGGAAATCTGATCGGCTTTCGGTATTTAACCTTTTTTTTCCTGAGGGGAAGCGGCCTTTGATCACACTGACATCTCTGCACTGAATGCAGAGAGACAGATAGCTCAATAAACGGGTCGCTCCATCAGTCGTCTTGTTCAGCCAGATCTCACTATTTAATTACACGCATGTCATTTGTTGCTTAACGGTTCACTTACGAAAACTATTTATACACCTTTGGACAAGCAAGCCATTTTCCTTTCAAAGCCAGTGTTGAATCTTTTGAATTCAGAAATTTTAGCAAGTCTTAAGGTTGACACTCCAACGCACAACTGAGGCAGGGTAGTTTTGTTGGGAGGGCCGTTCTTATCCAGTTCACTTGTTCTAGTGATCCCATGGCACAATTTTATTTTGCAAAAGAAGAGCTCTCCTTGTGTCCTGGCCAGCAATCATCCGTCATCCAAACTTCCCCCAATTAAATTGACTATTTATGGTATTGCTTTGCGTGGGAGGCTGCTGCTCCAGATTAGCTTCGCAACACTTCAAATTAATGTTTTGTGTTGAGCGTTTTTTTTAAATGAATCTTCAAATCAATTTACAATGTGTTTATTTTAACACAAAAAAGGCAAATTGCCAAAAGTGTCCTGCGGAAGGAAATACAATCGTGGACACTGATCTGCAAAGGAAACATGATTTTTAATCTCTTATCTTCAAAGAAATAATCTGAGATAAGATGTTAAAAAGAGAGAAGAACGTGGTTGATCCTTTGACTTGTATACAATGACTTAGATACTGCTGATGTGGTTTCACAAAACCAATTCAGATGAAAGCACCATTTCTCTTCAGCTCATATGATCTCACGCTTCCAGTGTACCAATCCCACTGTCCTGACATTGCAGTATCTAGTTATAATCCATCTTAAAACCACTCATCTGGAGAATGGGCGCGTTTCTCTCTCTACCTATCGCTAAAAACAGTCTGGTCTGAATGAATGGGAGGGGGATGTCTAAAATATACTGGAGTTGAAAACTTACTTTGTAGTTGAGGTGTATTGGAAACAAAATTAAGATGGGCAATCTAAGACAGAAAATAAAGTATTTCTTCTAAAGGAATATGTTCACTATTGCTGGAGTCATATTGTCAATACTGACATGTTATGAAGAATTCATTGGGGGTAAACAGACCGACCCAACCAGATTCAGAAGTGGTGATGTTATTGGATAAAATAGGTATCACAAGAGCGCACGTTACACTCACTGCTTTGCTCAGGGTCCTGTAGTTACATGACAGCGTGATGTTTATGCACACATATTCAAACATACATGCAATGCACACAGCTCTGCTCAGAAAGTAGCTTTATAGAAAATGGTGAAAAGTTATTTAAGAGTTTATGGTGAAACGAACGAAGGAAGGGTGAGTGAGCTCAACCTCCAAATGATATCAGGCTGAATCTCGAAGAAATCCTGGTTCTCCTAAGGTTTATGAGATTAACAGAAATGCTGGGAATCCACATCAGGTCACTGAGTGTCACAGTGAAAGATCGGTTAACCTTTCGGGCGTGACCTTTCCACAGAATCACAAGGCTTTTGGTTTCCAGTTTGGCGAGATTACTCCATAGTTGTGAAGCTGAAAAAACACCAGATATAAACACCCTTGCAGACATGGAAAAGGAAACAAGTTATAAAAATTAAACGGACGGGAATAATGCCACATTAGCTGCTGTGATTGAAGATACGCAGCATGTTACAATGAGCTTCAAAGTTTGGGATTAATCTGCTTTAAGAGGGGAAAATGGTGATCCTTTAGCATGATAGAGATCAGCTGAAATAATAAATATCAGTCACTTATAAGACATGATAAATGTGTAATCTTAAGGATCTTGGGGCCCTTGAACTGACTCTTATGTAAATATTTGTATGAGGTTCAAATTACTGGCTGAGATGAAGGCACATCGAGTGGAAACAGTTCAATATCTGACCTAGCAATGCTCTCGTCTCATCGCGATTCCTCAGTGGAACATTTTACATACATATAGTCTATGTGTAGATATAGATAGATACGTGAAAAAGCTAATGGTGAAAAACACTACTGAACCGTCAATGATTTACACCCCGGCTTTAAAATATTTAGTGACCAGCTTTCTTACTGCAGGATTTTCCTTTGATATCTTTAAAGTCACGTATGTTCGGTTACATCAGTGGGGTATCTGAACAGTATCTATTAGAGCGTGATTCCAACCCAACATTCAAAACACTGAACACACGGAAATTATACTTCCAGTTTTCAGATTTTACCGAATCCTTTGGGAAAATGTTTGTCAGCTTGACTCAGTGTTAACACTCTCACTTCTGGATTGGAAGGCTGTGGGTTTACGTTGGCACTTTTGGGTTCACAGTCAGGACTAATATTCCCTATACACCACAGTACACACACACACAGGAGTTTCTTCTGGGCAACAATTTTCCAGATAAAATTGGTCACTCACTTCATGGATCTGTTGTGTTCATATTTGGCTAAAAATTAAGTCACTAAACTTGACCACACACATGTTTGAGATTCTGGGTGCTTTACCAAACGCAAGATTAACATTATGTAGAGTAAGAGTCAGATGTGGCTTAAATTGTCATCTTCAGTGTACCAATACGGCCTTCATCCTATACTCACACTCGAACTACATATTCAATGCAGACTAACCATCCTCAGTGGTGGGTGTCCTTATACAATAGATGCAGCCAGAGATTGGGGGGAGAAAGAGAAACATAAGTTGCACAAAGTAAAGCAAAATTACTGTCTCACATCACATCTGTGAATTAAACTGCAGTTATATTGCAAAAAGAAAGGCCAAGATTTATCATAATATTTTACTCCTCAATTTGCTTTTAGATTATGGTGCATTTCTGGGAGTTCTGTGGAGTCCTGTAGCTCAGTGGTTAGAGCACTCGCTTTGCAAGTGAGAGACCTGAGTTCAATTCCAGGCAGAGGGCGAAACCTTGGGCAAGTTTCCTTACTCCACACGCCTAATAATAATCCCTCCAAAAAACAAAAACAATAATAAATTGGTCATTTTCAATCTACGACTGTTTGTGGGACATTGCTGTGCGCAATTGGCTGCCGCGTTCGCCCACAAATATACAGTCAATTCACTTTACAGTCTATTCTGTGAAGCGCTTTGGGACGTCCTCCCGACGTGAAAAGCGCTATATCAAATGCAAGGATTATTATTATTATTATTATTATTAGTTTAAGGTTCGTAATAATCGGTTTGGTGTTTTTTTCTCCAGACCCTTAGTACAGAACCTTAATCCAAACCCTTACTACAGAAAATAAACGAGCAAGAAGAGTTACTGCCAGGTATTGATAAGGACAAAAACATGTTTAAAGAGTGTTTGAACATTATGCGACCTTGAAGCAGGGCAGACCTTGAGTTCAGTTTATTGCTTAATTGCCAATGTGTCCAACTATTTATGAAAGCCAGTTTAGGACAATTTTACGTGCTTTGCTGCAGATCTGTTTAACTCTTCAAATCTTTGCTGGAGCCTTTGGCAAAAACATTCCGCCGCCAGCCTAGACTTTGTAATGTTTCACTTGTGTTGAAAAGGACAGTTTGGAGCGAAACAACAACAATTATTTCCTATTCCTAAATCACACTGGTCACAAGCACAGATACAGTCTGCTAAGTTGCATGCAACACTAAATGAATTAGATTTTCTGAAATATTTTCAACACCGAGTCATACTTCCCAATAACAATAACAAGCTTCTGCTCCACATTGAGACGTCCTCCCGACGTGACAGGCGCTATACCGATATAATTTTGTGTTGTAATTTGGTGTTGTATTTCTCGACATAGCCATCAGGAGAATCGCTACCAAATCACTTCTTTTTTTGACAAAGCTCAGAAAGTTCAGCATCTAAAAAAAAAGTTCACAGGGATTGCTGTGAACAATAACCTCTCAGACCACGAGTGTTTTATTTAAGACTAACTGTGTGTGCTTGTACCAAACACATCGTCATTCCAAGACATCATCCTATGTAAGTGCAAGTTGTTATCCGTTACGAATGAGATTTGAAACCACGGTGGAATCTTCATTTAGTCATAGCATTACAGATTGTGCAGAATTTGGGTTAACACCAAATGTTGATTTGGAACTTGTTTTCCTTTAGATTCCTTGAGAATGGCTTCAAAGTTCAGACAGAATTCAACATTTTGCTGATTTCTGCACACCCCGAAAGGCTAAGAAATTAGAGTAAATCTGGACCCAGGTCGAATTCCGACCTCCATGAACTCGATTCACATCAATGACATTTTAACCCCTTCACAGAATACGACACGTTGTAGAACGTGAGACGAGACAGTTGTGCGGCGATCGCGTTGGGCGAAGACACATTTTACCACTTGAAATAAAATCGGCACAAGTAAAACTAAAATCCTGAAATGGTTCACAAATTTCACGCTCGAGTACACAGGTTGGAGAAGGTGTTAATAGGATCAGATACCGACTGCTCATTGGATTGTTTTGCAAGTGAATTTCCAGTTGCTTCCAAAAACTATCATTCCGAACAAAACACGTTTCTCTGTCTTAATACTGTACCACGAAAGGGCGAAATAAGCTTTTTTTTTTAAAAAAAGGCAATAATGAAACCGCCTTTAAGTTAGTTTTTTTTTGAACAGGGATTGCAAATTCAGGATTGTCCAACCCGGAAGTGCATTGCCCTTTATGTGTTCAGCAGCTTTTATTCTTGATCAAGATGAGTTTTGAAATCACCAGGGAAAGAGAGAGAGAGAGAGAGCTCAAAATTACTCATTCAAAATAATCCCAGTTGAACAGATTTTGGCGCGCAGGAGTTCCTGTAACTTTATTCCCAGTTGGACCGTTTCCAATCTGGATTCATCTATTTTTAAAACTGTAATTCTCACAGCCATAGCTGTTGGGAGTAATGCACACCCCGGGACGTCTGCTTAATCACAGAAGTGGGAATTGAATCCAAAGCATTGCATAGTCACTGTATCCCATCCAACGCAAATGCTAATAATAATAATCATCCCATTTGCCCCCGCGGCTGAGCATCCTTTGATAAGACAGTATCGATCCACAGAGAAACTCACCGCAAACTCACGCCGCAATCTTCCGAGTGTCAGCGACTGTAGTGGCTGGAGTTGGGAGATGTGCCTTTCGACCGCCTCTCATCCGGATAAAGCCAACAGCAGCTTTGACTCTTACTGTTGGCAATGTTTTCAAGGAAGTTTTCAAAGGGGGAGAATAAATCAAACCAGACTACCTGCTGCTTCTAACTAAAGAGACGGGTTTTTTTTTCCCTTTAAAAAAAAGGACTTCTGACTAAAGCGATGCAGTCCAAATTGTAAGGGGAGAACACGTAGCGAAAGAGCCAGTTGGTGTGCCACTAACTTTTGTACCTGATGCCATTCCCACGAAGCGCTTTATTTATCGCTCACAGACCAATAGTCGGGACAGATATTTGTGGGCTGACCGGTGTGCGCGCAACTAGTTTTCCAGGAGCAAATAGTTTGGATGTTTTAATAGAAGTTAAAGCGGGAGAGGGAGGGGGTGGAGGGGGGGAAACGTCAGAGCAAGTTATTACTGTCACACCCGTAAGTTACCCTTTGAGCATTTCCTTGAAACGGCAACAATGCACTTCGTGGATAATGTGCACCGAATTAATGTTACGTCGCATGGGAGGAAAGTGTTCACTAAATTGCTTCTATGGTTGAAACTGACCCACCCTACACATTGCACACACAGATCAGTGTTTCCACTTAACTACCTGGGCAACAGATAAATGCACTCCACAAATTCGACTGCGAAGTTTAACGAGAAACAGTCGGTTCATTGAACGTCACGACTTCCCATTTAGATTCACCCAATCTGGAATGTGCTTGTTTGAAGGGCTCAGTGTATTTTTTTTCACATAATAAGGGCCAGGTTTTTTTTTTAAAAGGTAACATTCAGACATGTTGAAGCGTTTTGTCATTTCGAGCGGCTTTATTTGAAAATCTACTCTCTAGAAATCCATGAAAATATAATGTTCTAGATTAGAAATAAAATGCAGGGCAGAGGTTTGTAATGTACATATAGCAAATTCATTTTGATGGTAATCATATTGACTATCCTCCTGTGGGGGGGAGGTTAGCAAGGTCTGCTTGGAGTTTAGCTGATTCAAGGTGGCATACTTGGCAATGGAATATCAGAATTGAGTCAACTCTCTGTGTCTTGGTAAACCGGTCCCTGAGCCAGACAGATCTGCAGAGCTCTAGGCCACTGCTGATGACAGAAGACCTCGCCTGACTCATCAGCAGGACTCAGTGGGGCAGTGTGTTGTGTTAATAGTCAACTCAATGCTACTGCAACTTGCATGAGTTTGGGTGGAATTAAACAGTCTTGAGTCATACTGCCTCATACTGGGATCGTTTTGCTTGTGAAGTGGCTTGCAACTTATGGTATAGAAATAGATCATGTTAACGCTCACAGGATAGATAGGCTATTCAACAACTAAATAAAATTTTTATAGCACATTTCACATTGGGAGGACGACCCAAGGTGCTGGACAGTCAGGGACAAGACCTGAGTATGGGAGGGTAGGGTTGGGCTGAGGGAGGGCAGAGAGGTAGGGGGGGCGCTGAAGGCAGAGTTGACAAGGAGGGTCTTGAGTTGTGCCTTGAAGAAGGCAAGAGAGGGAGCAAGGCAAAGGGATTGTGGGATGGAGTTGCAAAGGGTAGCGGCAGAGAGGGTGAAAGCCCAGCCAAGGATGGTAGGGTACGTCGGATCCTGCTGAACGGATGAAGTGGACAGGTAGATAAGGGGTTAGCAGGTCAGAGAAGTAGAAATGGGCAAGGCCGTGGAGAAGCTTGAAAGGGAGGATGAGGATTTTTAATCCTATCCTCTGAGGGATAGGAAGCCAGTGGAGCTGGGCAATGGTTCAGTCAGTTTTCATAGTGATAGTCCAATACACTGCTATGGGGTCATGAAGCCTGGTGAGGGAGAGGACATGAGCTGCAGAGTTCTGGATGATCTATAGCTTGTGGAAGGAAGAGTTGGGGAGGCCAACAAGGAGGGAGCTTCCGTCGTCGAGCCTTGAGGTGACAAATGCGTGTATGAGGGTTTCACTGGCCTGAGGGGTAAGGCAGTGGCAGAGTCGGATAATGTTGCAGTGGTGGGGGAACACAGAGTGGGTCATAGCATGGATATGAGGGAGAAAGGACAGTTGAGGGTTGAACAAGATGCCCAGGTTCCTGAATGGCTCAGTGAGGTGGAGTGTGCATCCGTGGATGCTGTCAATACCGGAGTTGTGGGGGCACTGCCATGAGCCAATCAGGAGGGCCTCAGTCTTGTTGAAATTCAGCTGTAGAAAGTTGGCTCTCATCCAGGACTTGATGTCTGACAGACAGTCTCTCAGGGCATCAGTTACCCTGGAATCAAGGGTGGAAGCAGAGAGATAGATTTGGATGTCATCCATGTACATAAGGAAGTTGATTCCATGTCTGCGGTTGATGTCACCAAGAGGGAGCGTGTAGAGGTTGAAGAGGAGGAAACTGAGGAACACCGTACAAGAGTGTGCGGGTCCTGGAAGATAAACTGTTGGCAGAGACTGATTGTAGATAGTGTGAGAAATAAGACCAAATGATTCAAGGACAGAAACTTGAAGGTTGAGGTGATAGGAGAAGCAGTGGAGGAGGATGGAGTGGTCCACTCTGTTTCAATGGTTCAGTCTGTTTTCATAGTGATAGTCCAATACACTGTTATCATGAATAGAAATAATTGACCACAGCGAAATTATTCAGCTTTTAGTGTTTTTGAAGAAATGTTGGTTATTGGACATTAATCTTAAATAATAATAATAATCCTTGTATTTGATATTGCGCCTATTATAACTTCAAGATGTCTCAAAGCACTTCAGAGAATATACTGCGTACAAGGCACAGATAATAGTTCCATACTAGTTTACTTAGCTTGAGGTGCATTTTACTTTGCTCTTTGTAATAACGTGTCACCTTGGATATCATAACATGAATGAACTATTCTCTTGGAATTACAGTTTGTTTGTTGTATGCAGTGCATTGATTGGTTAATGGTTGCTGTCTGGATTCACTACAACAAACCAATTCAATTATCCGCACAGTTTTCTTCAGCTCTTACACGGTTGAGATAACCAGTGCTGTTTGGACTTCAGTGCCTGGTATCTTTTAAATTCATTAGAAACCGAGCCCTAACAGGATATAACGTATTCAGAGGCAGGTAACCTGACGCTGTCTGCATTGCAAGTTCTCATACAGCTGTATTTTAACAAGGGATCAGTTGTGACTATTCATAGACTGGGACCAGAGAAGAGATTAAACAATACCATTTGAATATATTCTAGCTGAACATTTCCTTTCCGCTTTTGTTTTGTTTTTACTTTGTTATAGCTGATGCTCTGATTCTATCAAACTGATCCTTAACAGTGGGACTTAACAGCAAAACAATGCACCGATCAGGATTAAAAATTGAAGTGAAAGAATTAGACTTTGAGTTTGAAATTGTCAACGTTCAGTTTAACGAACTGGGGAAATATGGCTTGAGGCTCACGGTGGAAAACCCTCTGCTGGAAGGTTCAGGGACAGGAGTTCAGCTGTGGGTGAATGATGGCGATGGGGTGTACACAAACTCAGGGACGACAGACATCATCGAACAGACCAATCTTAATGAAATCTACTCCTTTCTCAAGAAGAAATTTGTATTCCGTCTTCCTAAAGGTAACTATCTTGTGACAAACTTTTGCTGAAATGCAAATTCAAAACCAAACTTTGGATTTCTTTCTGTTGCCTTTACCTGTAAATACTGTAGGTTCAGGCCTCATTCTGAAAAGTTGAGTATGTTAGAACATTTTCCTAGACCTGGGTCTGAATCAAGCCAGAATCATGGATATAAGTTCTTTCTCCAACGCTTGTAAATGAAATGAGAACTGAAGGTTTAATGATTGGTGTTAATTGGCAATGTATTGAGAAAGGCCAACAGCAAGTTACATTTGTATAGCGCTTTTCACATTAGGAGGACGTCCTAAAGCCATAACTATCTAGTTAAGTGGAGATGAGTGGAGTTGTACAAATAGGATCTGTCCTGATGTTTTGGAGAAAGCACATTATGAGAGCAATGTCTTGCATTATTTAGGTCTTTCAGAGAAAATAAACAACCCAAAACACTTTTGATTTGAAGTGAAAGTGAATGTTGTTGTAATAGAGAAATTTGAACATGTTTAAAGTGGAGAGGAGTTAACTGTGTGCCTAACCATAGGTAGACCTCAAATAGGAGTGTTATATACAGTATGTAATCAAAGTACAGCTTTCCTGTGGTGAGCTGAGTTCACTAGTTTCCACTTTCGGTAAATTTAATGAGGGATTGATTCTCTGGTAAGATATAAATTCAAATGGGACAGCTCACAGTCCAGACTCCCCAGCTCAGGTAAACTGTTTTAAGGGCATTAAAGATTTACTTCTGCAGATTGCGCTAACTGTGTACAAATGCCCTGCATTATGTAATTAATCCATGTAAGAAAAAAAGGATTCAAAGGGATTCTGTAATATTTTACATTGGTTTATTATATTCTATTTGGGGCACTTGCACTCTACTCCGCATATAGGTTTACACAAGGCTGACCCAGTGCTGTTCAAAAACATTGTAAAGGGGAGGAAAAGGAATCCCTTTGGTAACTCATTGTTGGAAGTCATAGCTGGTATGTAAATGATGCTGGAACCTGAGAATTTCCCCATAAGGAGAGATTTTGTTCAGTGTGTGTATCGGTGATATAATCTGCTCAGTTCTGCAGTTACACTTCATGCTCCTTCAAAAAAGAAAATTCACATTAATGCTCTTTATGTCATGAGAGATCATAGAATTTTCATTTTGTTTCTTTTTACCTCCAAGGTAGCATTTAGAATGAGCTCCAAACATATCTATATTTAAAAAATAATTTTGGTCTTTCAGAAATGGATATGTTTTGGTCACTGCCAAGACTGACTAGAGTGCCCCTGATGCTATTTTTCTAGCATTACACTAGCTATTGTACAGTAGTTATTTTGCTTTATAATGATACAATGATTATCTTTGTATTTGATATAGTGCCTATAATATCAAATATCTCAAAGCGCTTCACGGAGATTTGCTGTAGAAGGTAGTGACTGTGCATTCACAGATGAACGTGGCAGCCAATTTGCACAGCAAATGTTCCACAGACGACCATGAAGTGAACGGCGAAGGTATCTGGAGGATTCTTAATAGTATCATGATATCTTTAGCATCCATCTGAACAGACAAGCTGAATGGACCTGGCTTAATATCACATATGAAGAAATGCACCATCAATGCAATCCTCCCTCATTCCTGGACTGAAGTATCTGTGAGCACAAATTCCCCACAACCTTCATTGGCATTTATGTCACCAACTGAGTCAAAACTAACAGTTTATATCCCCTGTTCACAGGTTATTGTCAAAATGATAAAAATCATGATGTCCGACTAAGAATTGAAGCCTTTCGACTAACTGGTATATCCACTAAGAATGGAAAGAAAGAGGGAGAAGCATTCTTTGCAATCTACCCACGCACAAACACGCCGAGAATTAATGTTTTTGCCAAGAGAAATGAGGACCTGTACTGTTACAACGATGTGATGGCATTGTTGCGGGCGCAGGAGGATGTGCTTGCATGCATTGTGGGAGGATGGCTTATAGCGTGTCCTTTCATGAGGTGCGAGCGCAGACACTGAAAGCTGGAGTAGAGCATGATCCAAAACTGCTCTCAGTAATCGAGGAGGAAGACCATCCCATAAATCCAAAGCTACCAGCAGTGCCTTCTCCACTACCAAAACTAGAGATACCTCCACCTCCTATGATGATACCCCATCAACCGATTCCTTCTCCAGCATTGCGTTCACCCATCCCTGAGGTACGCTGAATAATAATACTACTCCTTCCATTTGGTATAGCAGACATCCCAAAGCGCTTCATGGAATATACTGCGAAATGCAGAGATTGTGTGTTTTGTGGGCAAATAAATAACAATAATGCATGCAACGTGATGTAGCACCTATATGAATATATGTTATATTCACAAGCTCTGATTAACAAGGGATATCAGAGAAGAATTGAGAAGCTACATCTCAGTTGATAGTGTGGACAGATACAAGAAGGAATTGGACACAGTTTTGATGGCGAAGAAAATTGGGGTTATGTGAGATGGAAGGGATGTTTTTTGAATATTGGACTAGTTATTTCTATGTAGCCATTTCTCTTTAACAGGGGTATATATTGGATGCAACACAAACCCTCCTCTCCTTAATATGATTTATCTAACATGGAGCGATTTAACAAATGTTAAACGAATTCTGGCTTAATAACACTAAATCTGCTGCATTTACTTTAAACCAGTAATATTTAGTTCTCTGTGTCAAAATCTGGTCTGGTGATTGATGGACACCTGGTCTGTGCCCTTTATCATTTTAGCCATTTTGTTTCCAGGAGAAATTACCAAATAGGAATGGTCAAGTATTTCAGATGTTACTGTTTTTGTGGTTGCCTCTTGTATTTAGGGCAACTGGGTTCTAAATCATCAAAATGCACATTATTTTTCACATAATCTATTGTTCTCTTAGGGTGATCCCCAGGATGAGTCAGTGGAGGAAATTGACTCTGAATTTCCAGAAGAAAATCAACCCCCCACTCCCGTGCAGGTCCATGCACTACCCCAACGGTTGGCCAGTGATGCCAGCTTACATCTTTCATCACCTGATCATACACCTATGAGGAGCCTTGAGCCTCTTCCTCACACTCATGTAAGTGCCATGGGTAGATTTTCGGGGTTGTTAGTTGAATGTGGCTCTGAAACTTTTTTTTATACATATATATATATATTAAAAAATCCAAGGAATTGGTTGTGCAGAAGGTTGGAACATTGACTTTTCATCTCTGGAATGTAGGATAAAATTCAGTCCAGAACAATGTCATGAAGATATTTTCTTTCCGGCACCTGCAGGTTCTGAGTAACATGAGTTCCGACTATTTCTGTTGATTTAGAATTATGTTGTCACGAACCTGTAGGGCCTGGGTAGCCCTGTATATCGAGATCAAAACTGCTTGCCATATTGTTGGGATGGAGTAACGGAAGCCTAATAATATGTGCTAGCGCTGACCTGGAAATAACTAAATGAGAAATGTTTGTTCAGGAGTTAAATTCATCTTGATGATCACAAAATCTGTTTCTTCTTTCTCTCCATCTGTAAGTATCACTGTGTTATTTTGGCAACCTGTTGCTTTTCTGTTTTTTTTAAAAAAAAGTACTTTATCTCTGATGTCAGACAGACATTATGGCAGAAACATCAACAACACAAAGCACGACATAGTGAACCATTAAATATATAATGTTCTGTACTTCAGAAATAGTACCAACGATACAAAGAACCTAATGAGCATTGACAGAAGATGAAAAATGGGTAAGTCAGGAGCAAAATAATGAGGAAGTAATTCTAGAAACTTCCATCAAAAATTCTGTTTTATAAATAACGCTGAGCTGAGATATCTTCGGGGGGTGCTTTATTGTTCCCTTCTGAGATTACTCCCAGAGGAACAGATCTGTGAGAGCAGAACCTGTTTTCAGAGCACTTTAAAGTACAATTAATTCAAATATTCAGAGGTATGAGCTCATAATAATAATAATCCTTGCACTTGATATAAGGCTTTTCACGTCTTCTAGACGTCTCAAAGCGTTTCACAGAATATACTGTAAAGTGAGTTGATTGTATATTTTATGGGCGAAATGCGGCAGCCAATTGCTCAAAATAAACTGGAACCCCTCACGGTCACCCTGCCTGGAATTGAACCCAGGTGTCTCGCTTGCAAGGCGAGCACTCTAACCACTGAGCTACAGGACTCCATTACTCATTTCTGGCAACGTTTCTCAAGGTAAATTCTGCTGGGAGACAGAGTGCCAAATACAGCTACAAGTGCATGTTCTTAATTTTTAATCCAACTAGTAAACTTGCTGGAGCTACTGGAATTTTGAAGTTTCTGGTTCAGTTGAAAGGGCTCTCACTTTTGAGTCAGAAGGTTGTGGGTTCAAGTCACACATCAGGACTTGGAACCCATATAGTCTATGCTCACATTTCCATCCAGTGCTAGGGGTGTGCTGCACTATTGGACATACTGTCCTTCAGATGAGAGGTTAAACCAAGGTCCCATCTGTCTGCCTATATGTTAAGGATTTCCTGGCACTATTTGAAAAGAGAAAGGAGTTTATCCCAGTGTCCTGGGCAATAATTCCCCTGTTTGTGGGATTTTATTTTTTGATCTTCTGTGCAACATCCAATCTCCTTTCAAATTCTACAGCATGCAAGTGAATTGGGACAATTTAATTATAAATTAGGACATTGGTCTTGAACTGAGACCTGTGATATTGCAAACTAAATGTGGTGCCTGGCCCTTGTAGGTGGGAGGAATATATTCACATTTGAAGCAGAAGATGATGCAATCTCAGTATTGTTATGGAAAAAGGGTTTGCAGTGCACCACATTTGAGGTCTGTAGATAGAAGCAGATCAGTAAATCAATTCTACTTTTTTAGGCTTTTTCTTTTCTTAATTGGAGATTGCCTTTTTAGAGTTCTTGTCAATTGGAGTGGTACAGTGACTGATAGAATGGATGTTTATTGTAACCTCGACAACTGAAGCTGACTGCAAACTGAATAGGCAAGAGGCAGCTACCAGATGGATTTGTAGACTGATTGATTATCTTATTAATATAATCTAATTATTACTTTTAAAACATACCCTTGAGTGGCGAGGGTGACTATAAATTTTAGTTGTAATAAAATGTATCTACAGTAGCTGCCAAATCACTGCAGTTACTTAGTGTACAAATCCCTTTAACCAAATTAATTATCTGTTAAATATTCTGAGCATCTCTATACTGGATTCTTAACCGTGAGGGGTTCCAGTTTATTTTGATGTCTTTAGAATGAAGTCCTTGCCTAATTTTTATTGCATTTTATGATGGAATTAATTTAGAGATGGAGGTAGGAGAAATGGAAAATAAACTCAAAATAGGTCTAAGAAGTGGAAGATATTCAGTCTCGAACAGCACATTTGATTTGTGAATCATGTAGGAGGGTCTGTGATTAATGTGAGTAAGGATCTCAAAAGCCCACAGCTGTCAGTTGAGGCTGAGGGGTATTATTAGTGGAGCATGACTTTGAATCAGGCAAGGCCAAGACAAACTGAGGTTTTTTTCCCCCCTTGTTCCAAATTACAGTTTACTGTTAAATGGCAGTGTTAACGTGTTTTGTGAAGCACCTCATTAGCCGTGCATGTAAAGAAGGGGAGAATGATGTACAGCGTGTCTCAGAGGAAAGTGTGACCCTAAGCATTAATGTGTTCAAATCACAGCTATAAAAGGTCAGTGGAGGGGAACTGTGGAGGAAAATGGAAGTGTACTAAGCGAGTAATGGTATGGTACCTCCCTCGGGAATTGGGGATTGGTGGGAGGGAGGGATAAGGTTGGAAAGGAAAGATGAGGTGGGGACAAAGTTATGATGTATGGTTTAAACCTCAAGGTGACTGGGGAATGGATTAGCAGTCCTTCCATAAATGAACAGTGCCTCAGTATTGTGACGGCCTTCAGACCGTTAGTTCTACTCTATCGTGAAAAGGTGGTGATGAATGCTGTGTGTTTGTTTGTGTGGAGTAAGACCAGAACTTTCATTTAGTACTGATAAAGTTAAAGCCAAAATGGATAGTTTATGGCATTGAGCATTTTGATTTTTTTTTAAATTGCTTGGGGGAAAAAAAACTCTGCCTTCATTGGGAGCAAGCATGATCAGCATATAAAATATTGGTGGTAGGGCCTTGCTATTGATTTTTTCTTACACACACACACCAAATCGATTAAATCAAAAAGTATAATTAGAGAAATCTATTTTTAAAGTCATGAATATTTAAAAATCTGAACTGTTCCTTAAACACAATTGTGTGGTAGGTTGCAGGTTTTTACTTGCGTACCTTGCTGATAGTATGATGATGAACTGCGTATAACTGGGTTACATACCAATGGTATCTCTAGATTCTGCTTTTAAAGGGGATTTGTTTGTTTTGGCTGTGATGGGTCTACTTGCTGTCTGGGCACACACGTGAAGAATGGCCCAGTTGTGTAAGGTGCTAGAGAGTTACACCTGGGCTGAAATGTATTGTACCATATTATGGATGGTGCTGCAGCAGTATTCATGGTGGGGAAAAAGGGGAAGGAGGAAAATCACATTGAGGTTTTTCTTAATAGAATCACTAATTAAGGAATCTTGATAGAAATCCTGTTGATCTACAAGAATTTATGCCTGAAAGTAGATCAAAGCACCTGCAGTCATTACTGGAAGGAATTCCCATTTCATTCCACTGGTTTCTTATTCAAAAATACTGCAAATTAGATTACATTGTCAAAGTGTGTTCAACTTGTAATATTCTCATTCAACTTCTGATGTGAAGTATTCAATCCAGCTGTGTGTGCATGCGCGTGAGTGTGTGTTCCTTACTATGCAAATTGTACAACAAATCATTTACGATTTGTTCCAAATGAAGTTCAAGCCCTACTTGATAGTAACGAGAAAGCTATTTGTTGACAAATGGCCTGATGTGGGCTTGAAGCCACAATGGAGCCGGGCTGACCTGCTATATGTAATTTAGATCCTGTGCAAGGATAACATCATGTTCTGCTTTTCATAATCTAATGTTATCCTTGCAGCAGCTATATCCTTAACTTTTATCTGTCATTGCTTTTCTGTAAGTTGGCAGCTCTAGTTGTTGCTGATGTCACATCAGGACCTGAGATCATACAACATAATATCATAGGCTGACATTCCAGTACAGTACTGAGGAGTGCTGCACTTCCTTTGGATGAAGTGTTTACCTGAGGTTCCGTCTGCCTGTTCTGGTGGACATTAAGGATCCCATGGCATTATTCAAAGAAAAGGAACACTTTCATGTGGATCTGTCCAACAATCCTCCCAATAAATGTATCAATTGTGGGACTGTGCCTGCATGTAAATTGACTGCTGGATTTGCTTACAAACACAGTCACTACGTGAAATGCTTTGAAATCCCTTAATCTTACAGGTGCTGCATCAAATATAAGGATTATCTAAGACGAGAGTTTTGTTGCATTTGGCAATGTAGTATTACCCTGGTGGTTGTGAAAAACAGTTTGAAAGAATGTGTGACAATTTACAGTTAATTCTGTAAATTATTCAACATGGGAACACAGGATCCGAAGTCCCTTTTTAAATTATGTACCAGATCGGTATTTCCTCAGAGAGCAGAGCTGAGATTCAAGAGTTTTATTACTTCCAAGTCTTCAGACGGTGGAGTTTGGTTTGCGGTGGTGATGGAAATTTATTCTGCAAATTGCTCCTGAAATCTCGATGATAATCTAAACTGCCCTGAAGGGATTATTAGTTTTGCAGTTGTATCTCAACTCTCAGTGGGAAAAGTGTAATGAAAGAGTATGGCATCTCTGCAATGCGTTCAATAAATGTAGTTCAGGATTGTATCTATAAAGAAATGAAAAGTAATGATATTCATGGAAAATGTTCCAGCAGCGTTTCATACAAAGCACATGCTTCCTTCATGAAAGTAGTTCAATTTCAACCACTGAATTGCCTGATCTGAGTGTGTGAGTCAACAGTAAATCTATAGTCCCCTCGCAGCTCGGTATTGACTACGAAACTTCATCAATGGCCAAATTAATTCTTGGTACAGTGCTACAATGGAGGTAGGAATATGTGGGCATCACTCTCT